GTTAAGATCTAAGCAAAAAAGAGATAGGGGAGAAATTCACATAAAGATAATTAGGAGGAGACATGGATAGGACTTCAAATTGTTTCAATTTGTTGTAGAGGTATAGAGGAGAGCAGGGGCTTAGCAGGTTACATAGGCTTAGCAGGTTTCATAGGCTTAGCAGGTTTCATAGGCTTAGCAGGTTACATAGGCCTAGCAGGTTACATAGGTATACATGTAAAACTAGTAATTAAAGATGAGGTCATGAACCTGAAAGGGAGTAGGGACCACAGAAGGAGTTGAAGGGGAAAGAGGTAGGATAGAAATGATATAAATCCAGCACTCATGTATGGTGTTCTCACAAAGTAAAAAATATAATTTTAAAGTTAACAGAACCATCCAAGTTTCAGGGTCTGTAATGGTAATACGATTTATTATCTTAGAGAAAACAGAAATAAAGATATCTTCCAGAGGAAATGTCATGAATTTCATTAGGGAGAGGATGCTTTTGAGGATTGTTGGGGACATAAAAGTTGAGATATCCAGGTGAATTGTGGGATATCTTGGAATAGAGATATGGATTTATACCTGACCAAACTATAAATAGTCATTGAAGCAACTGGAAAAAGACATTACCCAAAGAGGGAAGATAGGATGAAGAAGTGAAATGGCAACACCAACTTTTAAAGAATGGGCTAAACACATATTGAAAAGAAGGAAAAAGATCAACACAAAAAGTGTAGTGTTTAAAAATGAGTAGTGTTTATTCCAAAGGCTGATAAGAAGTTAAGATTGGGTTGAAAACTAGCTATTAGCTTAACACAGAGGTAATCTGTGACTTTGGGACAAGAATTATCTGGTTGAATGGTAGGTACCTGAGTGTATTGGGTCATAGGGCGGGGAGGGTCTCAGACAGATGACATACCCAGCTAACTTTTCATCAGAAGTTTACTGATAAAGAATAGGAGCAAGCCAGGATTATGAGAACTCAGAAAGGTAAAGAATTATAGTGAGTCATCTACTTCATCAGGAAATGTTTCAGCGTATTTAAATGCTTGTGAAAATTTCTGGTGGAAAAGTATCTTGGGGTCATTTTTAAGACAATAATAGGTAATAATAACAATTCATACCCACTGAGATCTTAGTATATACTGGAAATCCTCCTAATTGGTATTAATTCTACCGATGTTCAAAGAAGCCTAGATATGATGATTCTACTTTAAAGACAAGGAAATAAAATCCTGCAGAGTTAGAAAGACTAACTGGATAGTTTCCTTTACAGGGTAGAAAAGGATGGGATTCAAAATTCAGGTAAAGGACTTTCCTGTGTACACGGGGACCAAAACTACAGGATGGGAAATGGGAGGGAGGCAGTAGAAGCAGTCATAAATTTATAGGTTTGGAGGTGGGAGACAGAAAGTTCTTTTGTACCTTGTATTTTGTCTTTTAATCAAGAGATAAGGGAAGCTACACAGTATGAAGGAGAGGTAGTAGGCTGGTAGGTTTGAAGTGCAAGGAAGGTTTAAATAGACACTACAGCGAACAGGAAGTATGACTAGAGATCATAAAATGATTATCAGGCATCAGTGAGTGCCTGAGCAGCTGGAGAGTGAGAACAAGCAGTGTTGTTCATCAGTGGGGCCTGGCTTCCCTCTTTGCTCAGCTTCAGGTCCGAAAAGAGGCAGTTCCACTAAGTCTGTCTGAGAAAGTTCTAGGAGTCAGGTGTTGACTCCACATTGCAGATACAGAAGACCTTGGAAGAAAGCCAAGCAGGTAGGAAAATGGGAAAAATAGAGGTATGGCTCTCCAGTGTATTGACATTTATTTGCACCGTCTTCAAAAGTAGAGAACAATTGAATCTAATTAATCAAGCAAATATGGAATGCATTGTGTCCAAAGGTTTGAAAAACATTATAGCACCAAGGGTGTTTATGGTTACTTTCTGTACTTCCTACTTAATCTTTCTATAAAACTAAAACAGCTTAAGATAGCAACATAAAATATCAGTTCTATTAGTTTTTAATAAATAGACATAAGAATAGAAAAAATAGGGACCAGAGTGGGATTATTTGTCATTAGTGTTTTAGAAGCATTTATCTGATTCCTTGGCTAAAATGTAATTATATGGTTTATCCTCCTCAGGGTCACTACGAATTGGAGAAGGGGGCAAATTGGAAGGAGAACCAGACCCTAGAGCTGACTCCCCAAATGTATAAGGGAATATGTTGAGTGCTGTGAATGTTATAGTATCTGATCTTTGAAATAAAACTATGAAGTAGAACCAGATATATAACTTACCAATAAGGACACAAAGATGTAAACATACTATCTGACTTGTTTGGTTCAGCAGATAAGAGAAAGTAAGTACTGTGTACCAGAAATGAGCAGTGCTCACTTCCCACATTCACTCCATCATATTGTTCACTGACTCTCAAGTTACATAACCTTACATTTTGAAAGTTTTCTGAAATAATGCTGAGAAAGTTTGAATAAAGGCACTATGAGGCACCCTAGACTTGAGCTGTCAAAATTTTCACTAATTAGCCAATAGGTGGCAGTATAACCTGGTGTTCTTAAATTTTTTAAATATTAATTAGCAGATATTGAGACACTACATATTGTGCTTGGTGCTGTTTGTAGGCAATCAAGATTCAGAGACAAATTCATTTCTTCAAGAATGTCATAGCCAAGCAGTAAATATTCAAAGGAAACTCAAAGTTTATCTCTGCATGAATCTGAGCAGCAGATATCTCTTAAAGTACTAAAAAACAAGAGGGAGTAAGTAAAGGTGGCAAAGGGGAAAGGATGGAAGGAGATGGAGAGGAGGAGAGGGGAAGAGAGGGAAGAAAGGATTTGTAAGAAGAGAGAAAAATAATTACTCTTGAGATGCCAAAATAATAATAGAACCTGTTTATTCTTCAAAATTCATCTCAAAACTCATCCCTGGGTGCCTCAGTCCCCAGTTTAACTTAATTTCTGGCAATCCCTTTGGCTATATATCAAACATAATGCCATTCTGAGTAGTATCACATGGTCATGACCATGCCTGTTAGATCTTGAGACACTAAAGTGCAGGAGACACTAACTCAGAACAGAAACATCAATAACCACAGATGGATGTATGCATGATAGGTGTATGGCCTTTAATCAGGTATTCTACTCTAACCCTTCCTAATCTAAATTTGGTAGGAAAAGTCTTATCGACACCTTTTTCTGATGAGAGATTCAGTTTCCTTCTTTATATATAATAATTCATGTAGGGAAAACATTGTTTCCCTTTAATAAAAATAAAAATCTTCAAGATGAAATCAATGTGAAATAAGCAAAGAGGAAGCAGCAATGGTAGTTGGAACAATTTGATCTGTGGGAGAGGGGAAATCCAGGAAGCTCTAACCATATGCCAGGCATAAATACTAGACTTGTCTAATCCTTATAACATCATTACGAGATAATTACTATTATCAAGTCTATTTTATAGGTGTGAAAATGAAGCTGAGAGAACTTAATTTGCCCAAAGTCATCAACTGGTGCAACTGGATCTTCCTTTACCAACTAACCCGCACTTACCACTCACTGAGTCCTGGGGGCTCCTTAAACAACTCCTGTGAGTAGCAATGGGGGGTAGGGGGTGTCCAGGCCTGAGGACTCAAATATTTTATCGGACTACATCACAAACCTCAATGTAGACTTAGGAAACTCATTTCACTCTCCTGCTGACTCTTGAATGAGCATCACAGTGAGGTGAGCCAGTGACTGGACTGCTTACTAGAAAGACACAGGTGTTTTTCCTCAGCCCCTAATTTGAGGTCATTTCTCCAACCTTAGTTTTGTTAATTCTCTGCCATACAGCTTGTTCCAAAGCTTTTTTGTTATAATTACCAGTAGGGTCAGGGACAGGAAGCCATAGTGGAGCTTCCAAGGTTGCAGTAGCAGCCCTAGCTGCTTGTTAGCATTGGCAAGGAGGTCCCAGAACCCTCATTTCAGTCTGTACCTAATCACCAGACAGGTGGAGGTGAGGGAACTTCTTACAATGGGTAGTCCAGTCCACCACAGTCACCCAAACAGCCAGATACAATGTCATCCACAGACCCCAATATGCCACATGTTCCTTAGAATGCAGTTCTCATTTTGATGCTGTTTTGATGTGCAGTACATAAGCCTGAAAGGGGAAGGGGTAGCTAACAGAAAGTCTATTGAATCATAGATATTAGGACAATGGAATAAATAATTTTAGTCTTTTATTTTCCAGAATTTTGATGATGTGATGTCAGTAATTTTAAAGGCAATATTAAAGCTATCTCTTTTAAAAAGTAATTTTTCTTCGACTAAACAGCATTCTAGAAGAGGCTAAAGAAGACACATGGAGAGATGAAACAACACAGGCCAGATTCCCAAATTCTAGGCTTATTTTCCTGCAGATGTTTCTGCAGTGACGTGGGGAGGAGCTAGGCCACAGCAAAGCTGTTTACTCCCGTAGGTCATAAGACTACAGGGTTGAAGGAAAATGGTTAGCAGCCATGGCCTAGCAGGTTTCGGGAATAAAGCAGCTATCAAAATTGCCCTCAGCTCTATGGCTACAGAGGTACTCCAGAGGTATTCGAATCTGTCTAAACGCCCGCCCAGCCCCTCCCCTCCCATCTCCTTCCCCCTCCCCGCCCCCTCCAGGCTCCCACCAGTGAAGCGCTCAAGCTCACAAACAGCTCCCCGGTCCCCTAAACTCCTGCAACAGCTGCCACAGCAGTTGGCCACTAGGGGCGCTCTGATCTGTTTTTGCAACAATGCTCTGGTCTGAGCAGAAATCTCAAAATCACCCCTCCTCCCATCTCTTTGCAAAAAAAAAGGGGGGGGGGATTGTTTCTAAAAGATGCTTACTAGAAAGTATATGGTGGGAAAAGTACCGAATCGTGAACATAAATTATATTATGGAAGACAGATCCTTTTTAATGTAACTCAAATCTAGCTATAGACCTGCCTTCTGGGAAGACAGACTGTGCCTTTTCTGCTATGGGTGCTGAACATACCTCAGAGCCCCTAGATGAGGTACCTGCCACGTCTCAGAAGAGTCTCGGCCTTCTTTCCTCAGCCCCTTTCTGGGAAGCTCAGCTGCTGGGTCAGGCGACTTTCCACTGCCCTTCTTTCACCTCTGTTCTCTAGGAAAGGAAGGTGCTTCTCTCTCAAGCCTAGAATTCCATATCTGGGTCTAGGCCTTCCTGTGCCTACTTCACAGACGACTTCCTGTGCCCTTTCTGTGAATCTTTGAGACAGACAGATTGTCTAGTCATCGGAGACAGTTCATTATTGAAATGTCCAGACTCGGGGCTCTCCTACCTGGATGGCAAGCTTTGCTTTCAGTCTTTGTAGAATCTTAATCTCAGTCCTTCGGATTCATTGCTTCAGTCAGTATATACCTGCTTGTCCCACCCTGTGTTTCCACTTTGTTTAATACACTCACTGTTTCTATGTTTTGGCCAGTTTCTTGCTCTATTCTCAGAAATGGACAATGGCTACAGACATCAGATAGCACAGTTTGGGAGACTACCTCACATCTGCTTCCCTATCACATAGGCAAAAAAAAAAAAAAAATCTCACTATGTCTCAAAGCCCCCCAGGCCCAAAACTCTGCCTCTTCACCTGGACTTCCATTTCTCTTCTTCACTGAGCAGCTTCTCTGACTGAAAACTCATTTGTAGAGTCTAGATAATTGACACACTACGAACCCAATGAATGATCATGCCCACCCTGCCTCAGGTTACCCACTCCCCTCTCTGCCCCAAGTACTCTCTGGGTCCCCTCCTCAGGGAGTGATCTTGCATAATCCTAGTCATTACAGTTTTACAGCATCAAAATACCTTAACTACATCTTAACAATAACACACATACAATAAGAGGAGGGTCGGTCACTCACACAAGCTCTTACAGGAAAACAGGCAGCTCTCTCCCTGGTAAGAAAAATATGGGTCTCCACCCCACCACAAAAAAATCCCAGGATGCCCCAGAATGCAGTTTCTTTTCTTCATGACGTGTTGTAAAGCACGTCAGCTGCTCCTTGTTGCTGTGCAGATCACCCAACATCGGGTCACTGAGAGAGACGGCAGCGCTCGCTCACACAGCTGATAGGATTAGGAGATGGTGCTTTGTCAGCCCTGATTGAGTCCCAGACAGCCCCAGTATTCGCAGGTGAGATGTGAGGGAGAGGGAGTGTGGAGGATTGTGATGTGTTTTGCTTGTATGGTACAAACATTTTCTGGTTGGCAGTGCATTTGTATTGTCTTTTCTGTGAAGTTTGCAGTCTGGGAAGAAGGGGGGGTCCTTGTCAATATAAACCCATCCTTTATCACTCCTCTGACTTCAGGGATTGGCCACTTACATGTATTATGTGAAAGGGCTCTGAAATATAGATTTTTCTGTATGTTAAAGGTATGATAATTTAATTACAAATTTCACATTCTTTATCAAATAATTTGTCCTTGATGGGGGGGTATATAAAGACTTTCTTTCCTTCCAATTTATAACACCCTGCCCCTATGTTTCTTGCCAGGCCTAGACAGGTATATTATTTGTAATCACTAAAGGTTCAAGCCTTCTAAAGCAATTGATATTTTCTAAAAATCCAAGAGACAGTCATTTTTCCAGAAAATGCCACAAAATTATAGAACAAGACAATAAGTACTTAAGTAGAAAATGAAAATATGCATAATGATATTGTAAGGCAGATGAAAGATGAATATATTATGCTATATTAGATTATCTCTTTGGTGCTATAGTCCAAATGTTGTAAGACATTGCTCTTAATGATATGAGAAACACTTGAAATGAAATTAAAGGCAGCACAGATATTATCATTTGTAAAACTTGCCTTTAAGAGCAGCAGAAAAACAGGCTTGGGTTCCAAAAGTACAGAGCTAAGAGGCATCTGAACACTAAACCATCAGCCTTTCCCTCGGCAGGGTTGCTATGGTGACAGCAAGGCTACCGCACAGCCCTTGGTGCCTGCACTTCTGCAGTAAAAGCTTTCACTGAACACATGTTGGATTTTTTAGGCCAAAGTCCCATCATCAAATACGAAGACATAGTGGAGGCAGTTTTATCTGAGTAATTTGCTAAACACAAGTTGTATCTATGTTCTTTATCCTGTACTGATGGGCCCCTTGTGGGGCGGTGGAATTCATTTATTGATGCATTCATTCATTTGACAGTTATACGTTGATGCCTGCTGTATGGGAGGAATTGTGCCAGGCACTGCCTACAATCCCTAATGAAGACAAGTGAATGGGGACTTCTGAAATAAGAGTATAGCAGCTCTCCTGAGGGTAAACTTGGACATCCTGGAAGGAAGGATCAGGGGATGTTTCCTGGAAGAAGCTGTCTCAAATGAAACCAACTCTTTTGGAGTTGAGGAGGAAGGGTGGATAGAGCACAGGAAATGTTGTAAACAGAGGGACCAGCAGTGTTCAGAAGTCAGTGGACATGAAATCTCCAGAGAATGGAAGGGCTATTTGAGCAACATCCATTTGTATGTGAAGGGAGAGTGGGAGAGTAGCAGAGGATGAGGGGATGGGAGGCAGGGGTGCAGGGAACACGTGTAGAGGAGGAGTGGCAAGCAGATTGGCTGGACGTTGAAAGGTCTTCGTGCACCTTAAGGAACTTGACTATTACCTGAAGTAGAAAGGAGAGTCATTAATGAATTTTAATGGATAAGTATGGATTGACTTAGCTTTTCATAAAGGAAGTTGAAGATTTAGTTCAGTGGTAGAGCACTTGCTTGATAGAGAGGGTTTAGTCCCCAACACTTAAAACAACTAAAAAACAGCTAACACCAATTCCCAAACCAAGCAAAACCAAGGAAGGCAAGGGGTTGATGATTAGCTTGTGAAAAATTTTATTTAATTAGCTGGCAGGAAAGCAATGGGAGGCAACCCTGGTAGCAGGACAACTTTAGTCACCCCACTATTAAATAATCCAGAACTGTAGATAGATTCCAAATGAAGATGATGGAGATAAACAGTGACAGAAGTCCTCAGGATCCAGTCCTGTTACCAGTGAGGTTTCCATCATTGTGATATTGTAATGGTCACAGTAGAAGAGGAAGAGAAAGAGAGTTGTTTAGAGGACATGGTCAGGAATGCCTCTGTGGTTCTGACGTGATCAATTCTGTGGACAGTTTCTGCTGTTAAGTTCCCACAATCAATGTTCAGTTCTTGGTAGGGAATGTAGGAGCATCTTTTGACCTCCATAGCTCAATCCTATCTTGCCATATACAAACCAAGGCACATAATTTTAGAAATAATAAATTGTTCAGATCTTCTTGAGCCATACCTTGGGGAGGTCCATGTTTGAGACAGCTACAAGTACAGAAAGTATGAATTAATCACCTATCTCTTCTCCCTAGAGAATCCTAAGATTACATCTCTGCTAAATAGATTGGAAAAGGGTGAGGATTTTCAGAATATAATCTTTTAGGATTACAGGAAGAAAACAAATTGATTCCACAAATCGTCTAACTTCAGCATCTCTGTGAGCTCAGTGCATTTCTAGGTTTCAGAGTTGATAGTCAGGGATTGCAAAAGAGGATGATGGAGACAGCATCTCTGTGAGCTCAGTGCATTTCTAGGTTTCAGAGTTGATAGTCAGGGATTGCAAAAGAGGATGATGGAGACAGAAATACTTTGTCAAGTATCACAGTCCTTGCATGTAGGACACTAGGTGTCCACATGGGATGGTTCACTGCTCACACTGCTATCTAGAATATTTTCCCGGCTCAGAATGGAGGATATGTAAGTCCTTTTACATACTGAACTCCACCACCAGATAAGATTTGAGAATAGCAAGTGTAACAAATTGAGGCCTGTAAATATTCTGACTCTTTAGTTGGGGACGTTTTGATCTTTTTGAACATACTTGTCTGCATCACAAATGCTTTTTCTGCCTGTCACATAAAAGGCATCAGCGAATATTGGATGGCCTGGACCTGACCTAGCTGCCCTTTGGAAAGTTCTGCTTCATCAGCTGGGTACAGCTGTTTTGTTTTCTTCATCTAAACCTCGCAGCTACCCTTCAGGTGGGTATCATTATTCCCCCAAGCTAAAAAGGATTAACTTGAAGCTCTCAGGAGTGGTAGTATGCATAAAGGTTCTCATCTTGGTGTGCTGGCTTCATCTTGAGTTTCTGAGTTCAGGTTGCCTGATCTCACCACTGTGTCTGACTGGGCCTCCTCCCTGCTGTGGCCAGCAGCAGAGCAGGAGCCGGGGGCAAGGCCACGCCCTGTCAACGATCTGGCTGCCTCTGCAACTGTGCTTCGCTGGCACTTCAGGCCTTTCTGACTTACCCCTCCAAGGAGAATTGCAGCTTTCAGCCCCAACAGCTTTGGAAATCCTGCAAGCAAGACGCTATGTCAGTCCTGCAGCATTGACTTGGCTGGGGTCCAGCACAAGGGGACCCACCCCACCACTCTCAGGCGAGGTCACTGTGGGGAGTCACATGCTGACTTAAACCTAGAGGACAAGGAGGGACACCGAGGAAAGAAACAAGCAAACACAACCTTTCCCACTTTCTCCATTTTGGCTATTTGATGACCCAGCTTTTCTCAGCCTCTCCAACCAACACTCACCCCCCCCCGCCCCCCCACCAACCCTGGACCAGGTGCAAAAGGGAGGCTGGGGACCTCTGGGTTGATGACGCTGAGAATGAGCCTCCGCCAGCCTGCAGTAGGTCGGGCTGGGCTCTGGGGACCCAGCAGGGCGGTCCGGTGGGTGGGGCGCGGAGGTGCTGAGCGGCCGACCCCGGGCCTCAGGTGAGGGCGGCAGAGAGGTGTCTCCGGGGCGAGCGGCCGCCGGAGGCGGCACCACGTGTCCCGCGGGGCGGGGCAGGGCGGCGAGCGCGCCCTCGGAGCCGAGCGCTTACGAACGGCGGCGGCGGGGACGCGGCTGACCCAAAGCAGCCGCCGCCCGCGCCCCGCGGCTCAGCTGAGTCTCCTCCCTCGCTCGCAGGTGCCTCCTCTTGGAAGGCGGCGGTGGCGCGGGGAGCTGGTGGCGAGCGGCGCGATGGGACCCCTCCGGGAGAGCAAGGTGAGGGGACACGGAGTATGGGCGCGGGTACAGGGTCCGAGGGCAGAAAGAGGAAAAGCTGGGTGGGCCTGGGCGAGAGGAGAGCCAGGTGAGAAATGGACAGACAGGTGGAGATCAGAGTAGAGGGAAAGTGGGGAAGTGGGTGGTGGGGACACGGGGTCAATGGTTAGGTGATGTGACAGATGGAGACGTGGCACTGGAGGAAGAGATTTCGGGAGGGGGGTAGCATAAGGATTTATTAAATTGACTTTAGAGGGTTAATCCTATCTCTTGAAGCTGGGGATTTGACGTGAAGCCTAGAGTTGGTGTCCTATGTTTTCCTGTGTGTGTGTGGTGGGGGGTGATATGGGGATTTGATGTATTCGTGATTAAGAAATAAGGACTGCAGCGTGTCAGTGATCCGGCTCAAGAGCGTGCAGTGTGCCAAGCGGAGTGGCTGATGTGAGATACCTGCTGGGTGACTGATGTACCTGACAGATGCAGAGGCTGGGTGTGGCATGCAGCCCCAGGATGACAGATGCGGAGCCACCTCGAGTGTTTTCAGTTGCAGGGGTATTCCCTTTAATTCTTGCACAGGCGTCTCAGGTGTTTACTTTGGCCTTGATCCTTCCTGGTAAGGAGGAAATGAGCCTGAGGTCAGGTTGTGAGATGGTGTTTGTGACCTAAGCCAGAGCCCTCTCTTGGTTGCAGAGGTTGGAGGGAGAAGCCGAATTTCGGCAGAAAGCTCCTCCTGGGAATCCATTTTAATAGGACAGAGTGGGGCGACCCTCAAAGTGCTGGGTTTGAAGTTCTCTCTGCTTCTAGATGGTTCACAGGCTCTGCCTCCTTTCAGCCTCTTTCCTCACCTGTAAAGACAGACTTGAATTACTGTTGATGTTGCAGCTCGGGGTGTAAAGATCCATTAAATAAGCTAATGGTGGAGATAGCATTAAAATTTTTTTTAACACACATTGTGTGGGGTTGGTGAGAGGTGCCAAAGTGTGTGTAGAGGTCAGAGAACAGCTTGCAGAAGTCCCTGAGTCCTCTTCCATCATGTGTGTTCCAGGGATTTAATTCAGGTCAGCAGGCATGGCAGAAAATGCCTATATTGACTGAACCATCTCACTGGCCAAGAGAAAGTAGTTTTAAATTGTAAACATTGTCAAAATATTACTTCTTATGCTTTTTAAATGCATAAGAAGGCATTGAAAACTGCATTTTTAGAGAAAGGAAAATTTCTTCTCCTGGATGTCCTCTAGGAAAAACAAAAGCTAGACATGATGTAAAAGGTGGGGCCATCTTCCTGGGTATCGGGTGTATGTGTGCTTTTCTGTTGGCAACAAGCCTTCTGTACCAGGATATTAATGCATAATTAAGATCCTTTCTGAAGAGGAGGGATTTTAAAGATAAGTGTATGTATGCTGGGTGCAGTGGAACACACTTTTAATCCCAGCACTAGGGAGGCAGAAGCAGGTGGCTGTGAGTTCAAGCCAGGGACTACAGGGAGACCCTGTCCCAGACCCCCCACCCCCTCAAAAGTGTGCAATCCATCAGAAAGAATTCTTCCAGGTATAGGCATCTACTTTGTGAAGAGACAGAAAAACAGAAGTGAAATTGTGGCAGCTAATTTAGGAACAACATAAGGGGAATCTAAAGAAAAATAAACTGTGGTGTGCTGGATGATAAAGAACCTTTAAGAACTTCAAGCCTGAATGTGATAGAAAAGGAATGAGAAGGTGAATTAGAAATGGCTTGAAGGAGTGGGGTAGCCTTCATGCTGATGGGTGGTGGTGATGTGTGTGTGTGTGTGTGTGTGTGTGTGTGTGTGTGTGTGGAGGGGAGTAAGTGCAGACACTCCAGAGGATTTCAAGGAGACAGAGACAGAGACACAGAGACACAGAGACAGAGACACACAGAGAGACAGAGACACAGAGAGAGAGAGAGACAGACAGAGGTACTGTTCACAGGATCCAAAGGGTGAGATCACTGGAAGACCTTGGGAGCTTATTCCAGAAACTAAGGTACAGATTGCCCTAACTGTGAAGGTTCAGTGTTCAGAAAAATGACCTAATCTCAGGAGCTCCGCCTTGCAAAAGCAGAAAGGAATTGATTGTTTTTGCTTTCCAATTTCAAGAAGGAGCAGAGAATGCAGCATCAGGAGAAGGAAATTTCCAGAAGTCGGATCCCCCGGTTGATTCTTCGACCTCATCTGCCCCAGCAGCAGCACAAGGTGTCCCCAGCCTCAGAGTCTCCCTTCTCTGAGGAGGACAGCAGAGAGTTCAACCCCAGCAGCTCTGGACGTTCAGCGAGAACCATTAGCAGCAACAGCTTCTGCTCAGGTACAGTGCCACTGGGCACCTCCACAGCAGGAAACTGGGGCCTACAGGTGGAGTGTGATAGACCAAGCTGAGCCCTCCCAGCCCAGACCTAGCCTTCTAGCCTCATGACTTACATGCTGAGTCTTTCTAGCTCTTGTAACCTACCAGTACAGCAGCTTTTTATGGCTCAGCCCAACTAAACTGCAAACTGGAATCGCACACCAAAAGCAGGCATGAAATTAATTGGGTTTGTTGTTTCTAACTTTAAAATGTGTTTAATAAGTCTAGAAATTATATTAATCCGAATTTTATACTAGCAACTTTTTGTAAGTCTATGTACTTTTGATTATGGAATTCCCCCAAATAAAATAATTCTAACAAATAAAGGCAAGACCAAGGAGGGCTACCTATACTTCAGGCCTGGTCTTGTAGTTTATTGGGAAAGATCACAGGCTTATTATCTGTCAGACCTGATTCCAGGATGGAATGGAATCCCAGACCTTCTACCATTTACCTGATGTGTGGCCTTGCTCAAGTTCCTTAAGCTTAGTAAGCCTCAGTTGCTAAAGGCATAAAATGGAATGATTAATGCTGGTTGAGGATTCCTTATTAGAAATGCTTGGAATAATAAATATTTGGGGTTTGGGTTTGTTCAAATTTGGAGTATTTTGCAGATGCATAATGAAATAGACTAGGGATTCAGATTTGGGCAGAAACTAAACACAAAATTCACTTGTGGTTTATGAATACTTCATACACATAGCCCAAACAATTTTTCAGTGTGCTTGTCTTTTGCTTGCAATCTGTTACATGAAATGCACAGAATTTTCTACTTGTGCCCTCATGTTGGTACTCACAAAGTTCCACATTTTATAGCATTTTAGCATTTGGGTTTTTGTATGAGGAATGTTCCACCTGTATCTGCTTTGTAGAGCTACCGTGAGGATTAATGAAACCATTGAACTAAATGTATCCCTTGTGGAAATTCTGGCTTATAGAGATCTTTAATATTTGATGGTCTTTAATGTCATGAACTATGAGTGCCACTTAGCACATGATGAAGTTTCCTTAAAGTTGGAAGCATCTTTGGTAAAGACACCAGTCTCACCCTAGTTCCTCAAGTGCCAATGACAGCGCTTGACAGAGCCTATAAAACTGAAGCATGTACATTAAAATGAAAAGTATTAGGACTTTGGGTAAAATGTAAAGGAGTGGCTGTCTTATGATTATAAAGAATATTTTGTATTTCAGATTTGAAGAACACATGTGTGAGAAGGGCTGTGTGAACCAATATGCCACCAGTATTCTAATTTTAGCAAGATGCACATGTTCTGCTTCATATAGTGCAGAAACTACATTTTCCAAGTGTCTTGATAAATATAATTTTGGACTTACTGCATAATTTCAGAGAATGATTCCATCTTGTACATAAGTTGTATTTTAGAAACTCAACTATCTACTTAAAATATGGGTTTTTTTCCTCTATGAAGCCTCAAATTCTCTGCTTGGTTCCAAGATAAGGTGTCACATTGTTATATTTTAAATTCTTTTTCTTTCCATTTTTATGAACAAATATAGTTTAAAAAAAGTATACCCACTGATAGTTGTGAAAGTTTCCTGCAAAGGTAACTAGAAACCTAACAAGCCCATGGTTGTTGCTGTAACACTGCTCTGGAGCTCAGAGTGCACGCTGTTCAGTGCGGAGCATCCCTTCCAGCTGACACTGCCTTGTGTCCATAACTCAAATCTGCATTTATTTCTGATAGTCTCTCCATACGATAAATTTCTCTGTGGCTGAGTGACTTCAAGGTAATTGTCAGAAGATAAAAAATTTGGTCAAAGCAAAGGTGAACAAAGAGATTTTACAAAATATAAAGGCAAACCAATAAAATTATTAACTTGGGTTATGAGTCATTCTCTCTCAGACCCATTTCTTGAATCATTCCTTCTTCCCCAAAGACCTGTCTCCCATGAAGGCCATAATGGTAGACATGAAAAATCGAACATAGATATTGATCCTTCTGCCATTAACTAGCTGAGAATTGAATGGCAGACACATATAATTATGAGTGTCTGCAAACCGACCCTTCAATCTTTAGCCTTGCACTCTGTCTCCTGATAGGATTCTCTCCACTCCAGAGCCCCTCCCTCACCTTTCCCGTCTTCCTCTGTTGGTAATTCCCCAAGGTCTGAGCCCAATGCCTTTAGCAGTCTTGCTTTCCTTTCCTGTGGAGTTCTGATGAGCCCTACAAAGGCTTTTGAGTGTTGTACTGACTGAAATTGACAGCAGCAAGGCCTTTGGGGGCGTGTTAATGATGCTTTAGGAGGTCAGTCGGTGGGTGGAAAATAAATGGGTTTGGTACTATGGGGAGTGCTAATGCTGCAGGCAGTGAGATAGAGAATGTTAAACATGTCCAACCAGCAGGGGGAAATAGCTGGTCTTAATCCAGACACTGGAATACTGAGGCCATAATATGCACTGCTTAATCAAAGCAGTTAAATCAGACAATGAAACACAAATGTTAGTGTGAGCTTTAAAAATATTCTCTACAAGAATGAAACTGGAACACTTACAGGTGTCTGCCCCTAAAGCTTCTAGCAGTGCATGCCAGTATTAGTGTATGCTCATTATAAAGTGTCACACACAGTACTTAGTCTCAGAAGTGAAGAGAATTCTTATAATCTAGAAGTGAAAACATAAGTGTTACTCAAAACCCTGAAAATTAATTTGAAAATTGCATTATTTTTCCTGAATTCTGTAACAAAGGCATTAATTGTGAGGAGCATTTATATGCTAAAATATTAATTTTTCAGACTCTAATATAGTGAATTTATATGCAGTTACATTTATTTATGGAAGGTTATCCTTTGTTTTGGTAGTCTGGCATTCCTATCATTTTTATGAAAAATACACACACACACACACACACACACACACACATACACACATAGTAGATGGTCATACATTTTGGTAAAATAAGTGACAACTCTGTTATTGTTCCTCTACTCCACCACATATTTTCCTAATAATTCTACTGATCAATGAAATTGAAAGGCTGGCACCATTTCTAAAGTGACCTGTGCATCTTTACCTCCTGTCTCTTTTCCCTCCCCCACTCCACTGCCTTCCTTCTTTCTTCCCATGGGAGCCTTGGCAAAGGAGCATTTAATGACTGGATATTCTATATGCTAATTTGTATGTCGTGTCTATCTAATTTTAGAGGGAAGGAGTTGTGTGTGACCTTTTGCCGTTCATTTGGGGTGTATCCCCAAAGTGCTTTTTCTCTGAGTAGATACTGCGGGCAGAAGCTCTTTGAAGATGAGCAGGTGTTTTGTGCATTTCATCAACACACAAGTTCTGTCCTTGCACAGCATTCTAGTGTTAAAACAGGCCATTCTGCTCAGATTATATTCAATCTCAGTCACTTTGACCTGAGTTGGAGAGAGTTAAAACCTGGCCTTATTTTGTGTGTATAGCAAATAGAATATTGAACATTCTTAGCTTTATTAAAATAAAAGAATATACAAGAAGTACAGTTAACAGTGAGTTAATATGAATAAAACACTATCTGCTTTCATATTCTGTTTTTCAAACAGAATATTGTACATTTTTTCAAAGCCAGTGGGTTTTTTAATATATATTTTTTATTGAATAAAGCCAGAGTTTTGTTTTGTTTCATTTAAAACAGTATTCTACATAGTATCACCCTATCTCTGCCCAGGTCATCTTCCTTGTTTGTAATGTGCCCATGGAAAGTCGTAAAGCCTACAGTGGTAATTGTGTTTTGGGTGTGGCCTATTGAGTCTAGACCTCTGTTCATTTTTCTCACTCCCCCTCCCCCTCCCCCTCCTCCTTTTTTTGTTAGTAATGACTTGTTTGTCATTGTATCATGACCCCAGTCACCATTAGCAAAGCTGGTGACTTGGGTGAGTGTGTGAGGTACAGACATCCATCACCCGCCACAGTTAGCAGCATGCTGTGCATTCTTCCTTGCTTAGTTGAGGCAATAATTACCCCCTTAGAATTGGAGGCAGATGGATCGCTGGGTTTTAAGCTAGTTCTCCTCGGGGTGCCTTGTAAACATGGCAGGTGGAACAAATTATGCACACAGAGCACTGGTGGTTTTATGGGAGACCAGTAATTTCTCAGCGTTATTTTCATGTTTCTAATATGCACAAAGAGATGAGATACATGGGTAAGTTTATGAGTTCTGCTAAAGAAAACCAGTACCACCAGGTCAATAAACAAAGAAAATCAGAGATACTTTGCCATCTAATCTCAAGTAAAGCATTTGCAGAAAGTATTTAAGTTTGTACAGTGTTTTGGATGAAATCTTCCCTTGACTGCCGATAACCTAGTGGTGATCATTGTTGCTGTTTGTGGGCAGAACAATTAAGGCAAATTATAACCTGACTAGTGCACTGCTGAGGCATGAGAAAGCCTCCAAAAATTTGCTAGGCCTTGCCAAACAGAAATATTTCTGCTTTGCTTTTGTCTAGCTTGAGGAAATCTGGCATCTGGATGGGGCAAACCTTTGAACATAATGATTAGAATTGAGATGAACTGCTTCAAGTGAAGTGAGCTGCAATACTAAATTATACTATAATTGAATGACTGCCAACATGCTGTGAACTGAAAAGCAAAGACCCTAAGAATTTAGTATCATTTTAATGAGTCTGGGGCCTAGGCATTATTGTATAATGTATATTTCAAGGGCATAGCTACTTCAGCCGTAGAAATATGCACCTAATGGAATAGGTTCTAAGCGTTGGGCATATAGGCAGTATTTCTTTGAAAATGTAATTGCAATTAGAGAAGAACAAGAACAAATTCTTTTCCATCCAGCAAAAAAATTCTTAGCAATGAGGACTATGAAATGTATTCATAATGAAAAAAATCGAGCCATATTTAAAGTAAAAGACTGTAATCAACCTGAAAAACATTTACATTCTAAAGCACTTTTCTTTATGACAGCCTTTTGTAATTTCAGAGTTAGTTTTTGTTTACTTAAAAATCATCA